TTCCAGGCACAAGTAGTTTTAAAGAATGCTTCTCCCCCTGGTCCCTGCCAGGGCATTAAGGGGACAGAGACGGCTTGCTGGTGGTGGTGACTGGGGGTGGGGAAAGACTTGCTTTAAGAAAGCACTGTTACTCTTTTATTGGCAAATATAAAATAGAAGGAGAAACCCGATCTGTAGAGATGAATCCTACTTCAGATCACGGGCACTAGCTCTCAACCTGCCATCTAAAAGAATTATTTGCTAGGGTTGCCTGAGGCTTGGCATGTCAGAGGCCGGGTCTTTTTCCATCCATATTTACCCACGCCAAAGTCTGAAAACAGATTTTCGCATATATACGTTATTTTAAAATGTAGATCAATCACCACCAGATAAAAAGAGAAGGAAATGAGAGAGTCGATTTTAATACAACTCGTTTTTCCTTCTAGTCTCTCCCGGAGATCTGATTGCCAGCTTATCATCTTAAATGTTATCCATGAAACAATCTGAGGTTGTCAGACGATTTTTCCCTTCGCTCGTTATGTGAGTCTGTGATGGAAAAGAGGATGACTTGAATCCTGTGATAATACGGTGAGTCATTCAGACCATTTCTCAGTGATAACTGCTCCATAAGGACATGTCTTTTTGTTTAGAATGCCAGTACAGTTTATCCTTTTCTAAATGTACCTTCTCCTCATCTAAACCACAGTCTTTCTCATCTGAAAGGCAACCTCTCCATACAGGTCCCCAAATAATGTAAAATAAGAATGAAAATGCCTTAAAGTAAGAAACATTACACAAATATGCAATATCCCAGATTGTGACGGGTAAATATTATGTCTGGGAAGACATCCACGGCAAGAACGTAATGAAGGAATTTCATTTTGTAAAGGCGTTGGGAAAGGGTACTATTTTGAAAATGGGCAAGATTAAAGTTGCCAGGGAGGTCAGCATAAACACAGACTCCACCAAGAAATTAAACCCCATCCTAGCAGACCGAAGAACACGTGGCCTCACAGGACTGCTTGTGGAATTCACACCGCAGCTCTGCAGCCAGGAAGTGACTAGAGAAGAGGCTGCTCTCTCGGTGACAAAACAGGCCCTCTTCCTTTGCCAGAAACCACATGCATGCACACCTGATGGCCTTCGACAGTCTGAACCAACAGTCTGAATGGAATCTACTTTCCTAAATCTATAAACCAGGTCCTGGCCTTAATAAAAACAGGTGTAACCAAAAGGCGCTGGGTACGAGAAGGATGTCTGCCTCACTTGTCCATTTATGTATGCAGTTTCCAGTTATCTACAGTGTGCAGCACAGTACTAGGCTGGCCTTCCACAGTCAAGGCACAGGTCCAAATTCATAGATTGTTGGCTTAGGGGTCCATGGACCCCTGGAAGGCCAATAAACGAGCCTCAGTGGCCCCGGAAACTGAAATTACGTATGAAACTGTGAAAGCGCACATGTGCTTTTTTTTTTTTTCCTTTGGGAGAAGGCTTCTGAAGGACTTTCAAAATTATCTATGATGTTACCAAAAGATTAAAAATCATATTCTTAGGAAACTTAGAAGGACATTGTGGTGGATTCTCTTCCCTCATTTACGATGTGGTTGATGACACCGTCTGGTGGGTTTCCTTTTTGGTTCTGAAATGAATGAACTAAAGCCGTATTCCCTGACTGATCAATTCCTTCCCAACTGATTAAGCTGTCTGAAGAGGCCGGAAGCGCTCACAGCTTCCATTGCTAAAATTTCTTGAATGTCTCTCAGCTGCAGCCATGAAACACTTCCTTAGAACTGAAAATATCAATAGCACCCGCCTCGACCGCTGATGTAAACTGGTGTAAACTGCTAATTAACTTTGCCAAAGAGCGTTTCTTTTGATCCCGAACTTCCATTTTCTGGCAATGAAGGGAGAGTCCCAGAACACGTGGGTAAGTGAGAACAACCTGTGTTCTCAGCATAAGCTCTCGTCTCCTGGGAGCTGCTACCTCTTCTTCCATCGTAAAGGAACAGTCACTTTATTTGAGGACAATGAACCAAAGAGAGAAAACACCAAGGATGAGATACACCCGGAACAAGATTTAAAACCGACGAGGCGAAAAAGGAAGGCAGGGAAGGAAGGGTAGAAGGTGCAGACTGCTGAAGCCTTCACCAGGATTTTTTAGGGGACAGTGTTGTCAGCAAGGCCGTAGGAGCCGGACGGGCAGGTTTTCCCAGTTGCAGGCTGAACTTGAGGTTAGGAGCTGTGATCCTGGACATCAGCCAGCACCCAGACAGATCAGTTTTGTAAAACAGAGAAAAACCCTTCCATGTTCGACTTCTGGCAATTTCTATATGGCTTTACAAGTACCCCCACGGACTGACAGCTGGTAAAAGAAAAGGGAATTTCTTTTTTTACTCTACATTTGGAACTGCGCCCCAGGCCCCTTTGAAAATCCATGGGACCAGCGCCTTTTGACAGAATGTGAAATTGCATGGAAATGTTTGGATGAGCCAACAACAGCCAGGGCCTTCTAGGCCACTGTGCGGTGTGTCCGTGCCAATGACATGATTTCAGGCAAGTTTTCAAAACCAGAAAATGAAACAGAAAATCGCCTCAAGATCTCTTAATAAAACGTAATGAAACTTTTCAAGGACAAGATTCAGGGAGGAAGATCGAAGCTGTCAGAATTAGTGAGAATCATCTGCTCTCCTCGTAATCGGAAGCAAAATGCAAAAAAAAAAAAAAGAAAGAAAAAATATCTGGCAGGCTTTGATGTTGACACTTATATTTGAAAGAGTAAAATCAAGTTGCATTTTATGACTATGGAGAGAAATTATGAGGCGGTCAAATGAGGCCTTTTGACAGCTCATTTTGTCTCATAGTACTAACCAAAAACAAAAAAACAGTCACTCAAGACCAACGATTACACACACCGTAAGAGTATTTGTTTCCAATGTTCAACTGAGGTCTCTGTATTTTGGATTCCTTATTATCACTCATGTTCAAAACAGATAGAGTCCATTTATGGCGTTTCGATTAATGTTCTCATTCCAGGGGATCAGACGACAGCCCAGCCTTGGTCGCAGCTATTTTACTCTTGGGGTTTTATGCAAACGCAAGGGCACACTGGCACGAATCAGGCAGTCAAATGCAAACAATCCACACCTTGGGGAAACAGTTCACTCTTACCCAAGTAAACACAAGCACCTATTACTCACCCACTCAAAACAGACATGGCCAATGAGACCAGAGACCAGCCCCGTACGCTGCCTTCAAAATCTCATTCTTTATTATCACAGACTCACTGCCCATGGCCAGAAAGCCACCGCTGAACTTCTTATGGGGAAATGGCACTGGTCTTGGACATTAAATCGTTTCCAAAACTTTTATAAACAAAACCTGACACATAGGCCCACACAGATACACGCTGTGATAATATTACTTTTTCTGGGAAGGCAACCAAATGATACTCGGCTATCAATTCCTAATAGTAGAAATCTACCAGAACTAATTAAGCTCGTTAGCTAGGCTGGTAGGCATGGACCAGGAGGTGGGGCCTCTGTTTTTTATTGGCTTCTCACCCACTCTGCCAGCTACTCATCCGAAGCCTTCAAAATGTTTTCCAAACACACATCTCTGAATCATAATGTGAATTCCATTTACTGAAAGGCGGGGACTTTTAATATAACAAGTGAATCCATTTAATGGCTTATGCTTCTGTACCTTATAGCATCGCTCGTGCTTTCAATAAGTGGATATGATTTTCTTTGCATTACCCTATTATTAACACAATACTCTGAACATGTATTTTCAATCATGTTATACATTTAAAAAATTTTCCCCGCCTATGATTCTATTTTGAAAATGCGCCAGATATCTAGGAGAGCAAAAGCAATAGCCCAAAAAATCAACATGTCTTTACCCCCTTCCCTTTCTGACGAATCGAATTCCCTGAGAACACAGATTTTCTGATATTTTTGAATGCCTTTATAAAGAGTAATGACTGTATTTAAATGTTCATTGGTTGTACTTTTATTCTTTTCAATATAAGAGTCATCTACTGCTACTTAGGTATTTATCATGTCTTTTTAATTACACTTGAAATAACTTTCATTCATAAGCTTAGTCAGTACCATAGTACAAAAAATGAGATCTTCAAAACAAACTATCCTACTTCTTTCGATTAAATTTCTAGTACTTACTGCTATTTATAAAATATGACTTAGGTTCTTACGATACGGAGAAAACACAATATTTGAAAATAATTGGAAACCGGAGGAGATTACGATGAGCCAAGAGTCCTCTCTCTGCTCTAATTCTTTGAAAATGGGCAAAGAATAATAAAACTACACTAGAACTGCACTAATGCAATGGTTCCTCTGGAGAATCTAGTCTTTGATATTATTAGTACTTAAAATGTTAACTGGGCCCAACCTCCTCCCAAATAATAATACTAAGGCATCCACATTACATATAATAAGAAGGTCATGCTGCCATCAAATTTACGAAACCGGAATGGTACTACTACTATTTCTTCATATTTTACCACAAAAAGGTAAGCTTACTTGAAACCACATTACAATAGTCATATACCATATATCCCTTAAAATGATTAGAAGTGATCATTTGAAACTCTGTCACTTGTCATAGATAGCACATGGAGCCTAAGTTAAAGGCTTCCATTAAACAGATTTGTGATAATTCTCGAAGAGAGAACCCCAGTTGTAGAATCATAGTTTCCATGATGATAGGTTTTATATTTTTGCACTTTAGTGAACAGCTGGGGGATTTCCTTGAAATTCAAAATTCATGTTTTTACAAGTTCCTAATCAGAGAGCAATAATGTAAAGCTAGATTCTGTTAAAAAAGATTTAAAATAAATTTTTTAAATACATTTTCTAAAGCTTGATGTAGCACTAATAACAAGAAGAAAGGCTGTGTTTCTAGGAATCGTACCACAGAAACCTCGTGAAGTTTTGAAATCTGGGGTTGTTGCCATGTAAACACTTTGTGTTTCAAGTTCTGTTCTGACAGATACATACCTCTTCCACTCCGACCGACAAACCTGAGGTCATTGAATCGTGCAACTTGGTTTTTCATGGCTGCGGTTGCATTTCTCAGTTCGGCTGAGTAGTTTTCATCATTGCCAGCCATCACGGTGACCAGAGTACCATCTGGAACATCCCCCAGAGCCACCACCTACACGCCGGTCAAGGGATAAATGCGAACATCAGGAATGTCATAAACTTTTATGGCATTTATGTTTAATAATTGTTCTAAAATTAAATGTGTATTAAGTGACCCTTTTTAGGTTGCAAAAGAATATAAATCATAAGTTCAGCAAAACAACAGAGAAGTTGAGGATGGGAAGACTCACTCTTAATTCCATTATGCGTAACTAAATATAAATTTCGAATCATAAAACATCCGCTTAATAAAGCCACATAAGATCACACGGCACAGTTGGAACAAGACTTAGCTACAGCGGGGACGTGGAAAGCTATGCTTTCTCATGACTACACTCATCTCTTCTCAATTCTTCATATTTGAAAAACAGACTGACTGCCTTGTTTTTGTAAGTTTATAACCTAACCCGTCTTTAACTTGTCCAGACTTCCACTAACAGGCTTAAAAGGGCCAACTTTACTTTTAGGTGTTTAAACTTATTCCTGCTAAAATTAAATTTGACCGTTATGACTGAATGAATTGCCGATGATTCTTGAATGACAAACTGTCCCTTTTCAGTTCATCTTTGAAAACCCCTACTTGCTTTTATTATCTTGATTTTCACTAGCAGTGAATTCTGATGTGCAAGGGAAAAAAATCAGAAACGTGCCCTTTGCTTATTACTAATTAGAAAATCAATAGAGCTCAGAGGAAGAGAGAGGCTCCCTGTTACCTGCTCCTCTGAATTCAGGGGTGGGACTGCATCACATTTTTAGGTCTGTGAGTCCCAGAGATGTGCTAACTACGCCCTAATAGATGATTGAGGTTTTCTCCGCCCCTGCTGACTTTGAAGAGGAAGTCCTATAATGCAATTGAATAATAATGGATTTTCTAGCAGTGCTACTGAAAAAAAAAATGATAGATAAATATTTCTGATACTCGGATAATAAAAAGTAGTAATTGCAAAGTAAAATGCTCTGAAAAGCATGGCATGAAGCTACTTTGTGCAGTAGTATTCCTGTTTGCTCATCACCTGACCCTTCTAGAAACTATTTTCTTGATCTAGACAGTTATTCTTAGCTATAGTTTCACTGTTTCTATTTTATTGAGTGGTCACAGAATTTCAAATCAAAAGGCCCCAAATTGTGCTTGTTCCTGTCACTTCTGATATTCCTTATGGTATTGTTTTTTCCCCATCAGTAATGAAATTTGTGTTATTCACCCCGATTATATAATCTTTTTTGGGGGGGGGGTTCGATTTTGAGTTATTAAAGTAA